GGGCCACAAAAATGAGTTGAAAAGGTCACCTGAAGAGTCTATGTTCCCCACCTCTGCTGACCTGGGTTTGAGTGGCCCAGGTTATGTCATCAGAGACCAACATTCCCATTAATGTTCTTAAGAGATTTTAAATTTCATTGACAACTATATGTTGAATGCGAGTGTTTCATAGAATCATAGAACTGTACAGCTGGAATGGACCCACCTCCAAAAGCAGGAACTCCACAACTAAAAGCATCTCTGATAGATATCCATCCAACATCTGTTTAGAAATGAATGAAGAGGCCACCATCTCTCAAGGGAATCCATTCCACAACTGAACACGTCTTACTGTTTGGAAATGCCACATAATTTTAAATCAAAATCTGCTGTCTTATAGCTTGATCTACTGGTTTGTGTCCTGTCCTCTCAAACTTTGAAAAAGGAGGTTGCTTCGTCTTCCACAAGAAAACCCTTCAAATATTTGCAGATGGATCTCACATTGCATTTCTATAGTCTCTTCTCCAGATGGAATATATTCAACTCTCTCAATAGTTTCTCATAGGACTCAGTTTCCAGAATCCAACCATCTCGTCCTCTGTCATCCCCTTCTCCTCTAGCCTTCACTCTTTCCCAACATCAGAGTCAGTGCTATAGGGAAGTATATAAGCTGCACATTTTGCTTTGCTTTCTATTTCAACCTTGGCTATAGGCTTCATAGGCACTTAAGTGTACAGATCTCTCTCTAGTGGGAGAGATGCACAAGATTAATAATCCAGTATTATTTTGGGGAGAAATGCTGGCCTAAACAGAAATACACTATTATGGAACATAAAATGTACAATAGATTGAGAGAGAGAGAGAGAGAGAGAGATGTACAAAGATCATATTGACTTGCATCTGGGTGAAAACTGTGAAGTATTGCATGAAGACCTGAAGCTTGCCTTAGGCATATTAATTTCAGTAACCAATTTCCTAATAGAATAAAATGTCAGGATAAAGCAGAATGACTGTCAATACAATTTCATTACAGAAGGGTCTACTGCTGAATACAGCTAGCGGAAATTGTAATGAGTACAAAGTACAGAAGCTGTTTTTCTGGGAATGCCATCTTTAAATGATGGCCAAGGAAACTTGAGAAATATCTGGGGGTGGGGAGGTTCCGCATGTGCTTAAACCAAAAGGCTTTCTACGGTTGTATATCTGTGATGGACCCATTGCTTCAAATTTTTCAGTCACCCAATAATTTTTTCCTGCTTGGCTCATGAGCCACTTTCTCCATTTAAAATTAAACATCTAAATATGGTTGTCCTTCCTTCCCTCCAGAGTCAATGACTGCATCTTGAGGGTGAACGAGGTGGACGTCTCTGAGGTGTCACACAGCAAAGCCGTTGAGGCCCTCAAAGAAGCTGGCTCCATAGTGCGACTGTACGTCCGTCGAAGGAGGCCGATTCTGGAGACGGTGGTTGAAATCAAGTTGTACAAAGGACCCAAAGGTAATCATGGAGATGAAACAAACAAAATATCCAGAGGGAAACTTTAGAAGAGAAGCGGTCTAAACCCAATTACGAATCTCAACCAGAGTTGTTATTTGCCATCAAATCACATCCTATTTAAGCTAACCCTAACAATGTTTTTATATAGCATTTTCAAACCCACCACGGGTTTCCTATAGGGAGGAGGTGGCATAGTAAGCAAGTAAGTAAGTAAGTAAGTAAGTAAGTAAGTAAGTAAGTAAGTAAGTAAGTAAGTAAGTAAGAAGTAAGTAAGTAAGTAAGTAAGTAAGTAAGTAAGTAAGTAAGTAAGTAAGTAAGTAAGTAAGTAAGTAAGTAAGTAAGTAAGTAAGTAAGTAAGTAAGTAAGTAAGTAAGTAAGTAAGTAAGTAAGTAAGTAAGTAAGTAAGTAAGTAAGTAAGTAAGTAAGTAAGTAAGTAAGTAAGTAAGTAAGTAAGTAAGTAAGTAAGTAAGTAAGTAAGTAAGTAAGTAAGTAAGTAAGTAAGTAAGTAAGTAAGTAAGTAAGTAAGTAAGTAAGTAAGTTTTAAAGCTATGTGGTAAAGTGTAGTATTGAGAATTCTGCCTTCTCCCCAGTGAATTTCCACAGCTGAACAGGATTTGAACCCAGGTCTCCTTAATCCAGCATGACATCCACTGCAACAGGAGACTCACTAAATTAATTGTTCTTGTAAATTGACATGGGAGATCTCTGGAATTTGTATGTTTTAAATTGCAAACTGCCCAGAGGAGTGTGTGCACTAATCGGGTGACATATAAATCAAATAAATAAATAAAACTCAGCGATACCATTGATTTACTCTAGTTGGGATTAGCACTCATATTCAAGCCATAGGAAGCTGCATTATGGACCTTCCTATCATCCTCACCCTTCATAAACTGTGTTTATTGAAGCCTTATGGGACTGAGCTTTGATATAGTCAGCCTACTCTGGCTTCGATCTAGTGATCCTGCTATGCATTACACCCAAACCAAAGAAGTCTGGTTGAATGTCAGTTAAGAGGCCATGATTTTAAACTGAAATCAACTGCTGATCTTGGAGGAAGTGTAGACTCAACTTGCTATATACACCTGGAGTGTAAGCTTCACAGCTTGTTTCCCGCATGTTACCGTGGGCAAAACTACATATTACTCTTGATTGAAAGCGGAACTGCCATGTTGATTATTTTCTCTGATGACATTTAGAGTGTATCTACAGTACACAATTAAAGCAATTTCATGCTGTTACTAACTTTCATAACTCCATTCTATGGGTTACTGGAATCTGTAGTTCAGCAATGTACTAGCAGAGAACTCTTTTGCTATAGTTCAGGAAAGTGCTGTTGAGTTCCCTAGCAAAGTATTCGATTTATCTCACCAAACAGCAAAACTCACAAAACTCTGTAAGATGGAGCTATCGCAGTTAAATGTGATATCCATCTGTTGTAATTGTACAGTGTATATAAACTCTCAAGGCTATATTCATTTGATACTTCGAAATAGAATAGATCCATCAATCAATGAGATCTTAGTACACCAGCATGTATGTAAAACCCACTGATTAGCTGGAATTAAGGATTAGATTTTCGCTACTAAATCACTCTCCTGTGTATTTACAACACAGTGTGTTGTATTTCCCTTCCTTCAGTTCACGGCCTTGGCAATACAGAAGTGTACAGAATGAGGATATTATGACATTACTGGTAGGGGGAGGACAGCATGGCAGATGAAGGCCATTATTTTACCTGCAGTGATGGCTCAGAGAGATGGGCTGTGGAGCTAGAGGTCAAGAGTTCAATTCCCGAATGTGCCTTCCAGGAGAAAAGCTAGCCTGTGAAGCCTTGGTTAAGCTGCACATTCCCAGAAGAAGAAAATAGTAAACTTGGTGTTCTCTGCTTAGAAAACCTTGGAAAGGGTTGGTTGCCATAAGTCAGAATTGACTTGATAGCACATAATTACTATTGACCCATGTCAAGTAGCTGGTGCAGTTCTGCTCTGTCTCTTCTGCACCAAAAGTGGCCAATTTCTTGAGCTGGGGCAGGTTGGATCTTGATGAAACTAGAAGCTTTTGTTTCCTTCTCCAAGCTTAGGTTTCCTCAAAAGACCATATTAGAACAAAAATGGGTTTACACAGAGATTTAGCGCAGCACTCAATTGAGGGACTCAAAGGTGAATAGACCTAAATTCAGCATACCTTTTAAGCTTTGGATAAAGCAGTGGGAAATAATTAAGCTTGACATTACAAGCAGCTGCAGTGGAGAAAAAGAAATTAAACGTTTGCACTCTGACAGCAAAAGCTTTGCAAGGTTTTCATTTTCAGTCTTGCTGCCTGGAACAATTTTTTGTTACTCATTGCATTGGGGAGATTAGTTTTTTTTTAATGCTTTTATAACAAGCTGGAGTTTTTACCCCTTGGCATTTCAAATATTGATTTTATCATCCAAGCGTTCTAGAAACGTGGTTTGTTTGGAAACGTATGCATTAGCGGTTGCATTTTGTTGTTAACCTAGGTGCTGATCAGATTTCTGTTTCATCGTTACAAAAGAGAGGTTGAGTGGAAAGCAGATTTGAAATGGATTGGCAGCTTCCTCTAGTGTGGGATCATTGCTACAAGTGGAACATTTTTAAGCGAAGTAGCTGCACATGGGAATGCTGTGTTGATTGATATTGATAGACCAGTCCTAGGAGTCTTTGTTTGCATCAAAATCAGTTCTTTTGTAAAATGAATGGGTCTTAATTGTTCACCCAAGACCAACCCACTCCAAGACACTTTGCTTTGCAGTGGAAATAGCTCACAACAAGATATTCTTGCTGGAAAATTCCAGTCTCATGAGGGCTCAGCTTTGGCTACGTCTGGAATTCTGAATCCAATAAATCTGTTTAGATTGATTCATATCAAAGAAAGGACTCAAAAGGGGAGATCGCCAAAGAAATCATGAGAAGGGATCCAAAAAATAATCCCAAGGAGGCACAATAGCACAAGGAGAATGCCTAGCAGTAGCCAAAATAATGTAAAGAAATGGGAAAGGAATCCCCCCTCCAACCCAAGGTAGAAAAGCAAGGGGATTGAAGACAGAATGGGCAGATTCAGTTCTAGGGTGAAGTGAAGCTGAACCAGTGCTTTGAATGTATCAAAGGTTAGAGGAATCTAGACTGCAAGGAGAGATTATGTGTATGCATGATTGGGGGGGATGTTTGGGAGGTGGGCATTGTTGAGTGACAGCTGTAGGCTGCAATCTGAGGCCAGAATTTTGCTTCAACCCTGGTGCCTGCAGGGAACACATTTCTAGGGTAAACACTGTGCAAGTCCTTACAGATAGCTATCTGAAATTTGGCATATTTCCTTTTCAACTCTAACATGTCTCCACATTTCATAGCCATCACGGCAAAGAGACAAAAGATATCGCCATTTTGGTTTTATAGTGTAAGTCAAAGGAGAGACCTGGCTGTGTGAATTTACCCATTGATCTGGGGCACAAATCAAATCAGGCGGGTCCCAGTACAAAATTGGTCCTCAGAATTTGAAACAGGGAAGTTGTGCACAGCCCCTAATCTCCACCCCAACTCCTACAGTCATATTGCAGTTAAATTCTGAGGGGCATGGAAATTTGCTCAGAATGGCTGGTAATATCATGCCCCTGCTCATCAGGAAGTCCCAGTGCTTTAACCCTGCAAGTTCTGGCTCCATTACGCCATTGTGTGAGATACTATGTTCAGTTTCCTCGCACTGTTGAAGGATAGATCTGTGTCTACAGCAGGACAATCAGGGCTTTAACTACAAAGGATCAAAATTTAGAGGGTGCAAAAAATGACTGTTGGAGGGACATGAACCCATCCCATGAATGCATGTATTGCAGCCAACCACTTTTCCCTAGGTAGAGAGAAACCTACAACAGATGGGCTCAACATGCAGCCTATATGGCCATTATGCGCTCAGACCCAGACATTTGTCATTGTTCCTCCATCTTCAAACTATGTGTCTCTAACCTACTTGATTGGGATAGAGATGGGGGTATTCGTATTCATATATGAATACGAATATCCCCCCACAGATGCAGATAACGAGGGTCTAGCCCCATGAGGCCAGAACCAACCACTCATGATTCACCTTCCTATCACTCCATTGCTCGTGATAGATTAGCCAGTCCTGGCAGGAGACGAGATGATGAGCCTCTCTGACAGGTCGCAGAATAGCTTATCCATCGCAAGCAATGGAGCAATTAATTCAGGGGACCATGGTTCACATTTTCAGATTTCCTACAGTACCCAAGAACAGGAATTTGGGCACCATGAAGTGCTGTGGGAGATTTTAAATGATGGCTCATAATACTTTATCTAGGGAAATAGTTCAACATAAGAGGAGTCAGGAAGGCCCTCTTCAAGAAAAGAGCCAGTCCTGGGGATTTGACACAATCTAGTAGGGATGTAATTCTTCACTTATGCAAAATATTTCTCCTTCTCTGCAAGAAGATGGATTTATTTTGTTGTTGTGGTTGGTTGGTTGGTTTTGCATTTGGGAGAATGGTTTTTATGCAAACCCAAAATTACACCAGCTGCTGCTTTGTTTTACAAACTTTCAAACAGCAAAAGCACTGAATGGGTTCTTTGCATCTTCTTGAACAATGAACCAATCCTTCTGCACTCACTGCATATATGTGTGCTTCCCCCCTCTCCAATTTAAGGCCACTAATTTTCTGCAGAAAAATATTGTGCAAACTGTTGGTGAAGGCTGCTCAAAAAATATAATTCTTCTTCAATCAAAGAGCAGACCAGTATGTTAGCTTCAAAACTAGGCTAGAACTATTCTTTTTCGCATGCTAGTTCTCTGTGTAGAAGATTTTTTTTTTCTTGGAAGAGCATTTCATCATGAAAGTCTCCACCTACATTTTGGAGTCATACAACCTAAGTTGATCCACCCTAGGAAGAATTAGGCAATGTAAGAGGTGTTTCCAGTGAGTGTCTTTACCAGCATAATAGTTTGTCACACTCTTAAGCTATGCACCCTCC